CCCCACAAACGTGGGCACCACCAAGCACGTCACACAGCGCATCTGAAGACTCAGGGCAAAGGTCAAGGCCAGCAGGAGACCCAGGCCAGCGCCCACCAGCAGTTTGGTCAGTTTGTCCAGCTGAAGCTTGTCGATGACCAGGAAGTGCAGCGCCAGAGCGATGACCACACCCACAGGGAACCAGAGAGTGATCTTGAGAAGCCTGTGTTCGTCCGGGGCTGACTTAAGCAGGTTGGCTAAAAGACCTCGCCGCCTTTTCTTTTTTTTGTTTTTCTGGGAAGTTTTGCTGATGATGTTGTTGTCGTTGTCGTTGTCGTTGTCGTTGTCGCTGGGACTGTGGGTTCCGAACGATGATGAGGAGGATGATGGTGGTGTTGGTGTTGGTGGGAAGGTGGAAGTAGTAGATGATCCTGAGTCTGTGCTGTGGGTGTTATTGTTGTCATCGTTGCTGGTGCTACGGTTGTTGCTGTTGCTGTTGTTGTTTTGGCTTGTGCTGCTGTTGTTGTTGTTGCTGTTGCTGTTGCTGCTGTTGTTGTTATTATTGTTACTGTCATTGTTGCAGCTGCTGCTGGGGTTGCTGCTGTTGTTGTTGCAGCTGTCATTATTACTGCAGTGACTGCCCCTGCAGCGCTCGTCCTCCTGTGTATCAGTATGGCTTTCATACTCTTGAGCCTCGTCAAAGAAAGAAAACTGTGGGGTGTCGCTTTCATCTTTCTCTTTGCCCTCAACCCTGCCACCACCACCACTATCATCATCGTCATCATCATCATCCCTACTGATACCATAACTATCATTATTCCTGTTGTTGTCGCTGCTGCTGCTACCGCTGCCGTTGTTGCTACTATTGTTGTTGTTGCTGCTGTTGCTGCTGTTGCTGCTACTGTAATTACTTTCACCCACACTGTCTCTGTATGGAGGACTTCCCTGCTCAGTCATGGCGTCAGACACGTTTGTGTCGGGCTGTGACGTCACAGGTGCGGCCGCACACAGACGATAATCCCCACCTTCTAGGCTGACGCGGTTGTGATTCATATTTTCTTCCGTTGCCTTGGAAAGGAGGCAGCTAAACGCAGTGTTTGAATCTTGTTTGAATTGGGAAGACAATGAATTGCTGAGAACTGGTTTGAAAAGACTCTCCTCATGAAAGCAACTTGCTTGTTGAACGGTGATACTTTCTTGTAGTGCGAGTTGATCAGCCATTTTGGATTCCGTTTGCCGTCGTTCTAAAGTTCCTGCAGTTGTATTCTTGTACAGCACTCGAGAGAAATGGTGTGATCGGCCGTGGGGAGAGAGACTCTGACGCCCTTTGCCACTTTTCATGTCGGGTTTTCCCGGAAACACAATTGGACGCGTGCACTGTCCGTGTTCAGCGAAACAATAGTTCATGTGGGGGATATCTTTATCGGAGTCTCGATGGCTCAAGTTTTGAGCTGTATCAATCGGGTTTGACTCCCGTCTATGTCCGGACAGATGACTGAAATCCCCGCGGGCCGCACACGTCAGCGACATTGGTTCAAACCTCTGGCCAGGGGTAGAAGTAGCGTCCACGCCATGGGCTGAGAACTGTTGTTCGTTTTTCTCCTGATGGTAAATATGAGGATGTCTTAATGGAGAAAATGTCGGGGAAAATGATGTACTGACGTCTTCATAATATTTGAATCTCCGCGTATTTCCCTGCTCTGTTTCCGAACAACGACCATCTTTGTCGGTTGTTTTATCTTCTATAACGTGGCTGACACCTTTCATCCCAATAGTTTCATCTTCGTATGTCAATTCAGCCATTTTCGTACAAATAATAAACAATTACATTAAAAAGCATGAGAAAATCACTGATGTTTGGCTCAATGTGGGACGGGTTGAACACTGCAAAAGTACCCAAAAACGACGGTATCGCTCCTGCTCAAGTAATAGTTGTGTGGGATCAGAGTGGTTCAATGTCAGAATTTCCCTGCGTGTTTCCGTTCAGAGAGGAGACACTAGGTGTTAGTTTAGTAGAGGCAGCATGATCGTCCTCTTGCAAGTTGTCCTATTTCTGTCATCTGCGGAATCTTGATAAAGAATACAATGTCTAGAATCTAGATCTGCAGTTAATTTGTCCGTCCTTTTACGAAGCATTTACTTGTGAGAACAGGAACTCATAAAGTGATGACGACATACTCTTAAAAATGTGAAGACGTCTTGAGGATTTCAGACTCTACGAAACAATACACGACTCATTTTCATTGTGTTTGCGCAGTGGTGTATGAATGTGTGCTTGTGTGTGTGTTAACTGTAGGTGCATGTTAGAGTTTGTGTGCGTGTGTGTACGTGTGTTTGTATGTATGTGTGTTTGTGTGTTTATATATATATAAGTGCATGTGTTGTGTCGGAAGGACTTCCGTAACGAGCGACCACCCCATCAAACACAATAAAGAAGAGGCCTAAATCTAGATCTAGATGTTCTGTCGTAAATTGATAACAGACTAACAAGGCTTCAGTGTTGTCTGCCTGTCTTTTTCTGTTAATGTCGGTGTTTGCACACACCCATCAGCATAATTTAGATCATCTAGGAGTTTGACCCTGCCTGTAAGATACAACCCGCGCCGAGAGGGGTACAACATCCTAGTACAAAGACTGAAATAATAATAATAATAATAATAATAATAATAATAATAATAATAATAATAATAATAATAATAATAATAACAATAATAATAATATATAACATTTATATAGCGCATTTCCAAAAAAAGTAGCTCAATGCGCTTTACATTGGAATACCCATTTTTCAAAAACCTTTCTTACTACTTCCTTTCTTCTCAAGCAATATACATTAATGCACACACACACACACACACACACACACACACACACACACACACACACACACACAGAGAGAGAGAGAGAGACAGAGAGACAGAGAGAGAGACAGAGAGACACAGAGAGAGAGAGAGAGAGAGAGAGAGAGAGAGAGAGAGAGACTATTTTCATCCAGACATAGGAACAGAACAAATATAATGAAAGATAACGTTAAAAGCTTATGAAGGATAGGCCTGTAGGAACAGAAAATGTTTAAGATGTCTTTTGAAATACTCAACAACAAGAATCTATTCACCCAGGCATTGATCTCAGGTCTCCTGCGTGCGACAGCGAAGTGCTTAACCACTACACCACAGACGCCCGTTGTCTACCGTCTTACAGAACCGCTTGTTTAGCCTCTGTGCCTTCTGCGTGTGGAGTTGAGGTCGTGATTTCGCACACAGCTAAAATTAACAACAGTAGTCGTTAAAAGTGAACTTTAGCAACCTCCCCCCCCCCCACACACACACCTATTCAGAACTTACTTGACCTACTACGCAAATCCGAGCCGCCACACTCCGTGAGGCTACCTGTGAGTACCCTTAAAGTTGCGGTATAACAATACATTGTGATATTGTAGGCGTTTTAGAAAGATTTTTCGGGATTTTAGAACTAGAACTGTCTCCATTCGTTTTTCCAGGTAGCATCGTTGTGGAAGTTAGGATGTCATTTCTAAGAGCACTTCTCCCTGGAACAATAGTCTTTTTTGTGATCTACCCCCCCCCCAACCCCCACCCCGGGGCAGTGCCACTGACTGTAGTGTCTTCAGGCCATTCTCAAATGGGAGACATTTCTCGTTCAAGCATTGTAGAATTGTAAATGGGCTGACTCATGTCACGCTCATAACTGTGCCTGATCTACAACAGGGAACTGCTGCTTTTTCTTTCTTAATCCTTACTATTGTCATTTTCCGCTACTTCTTTTGTATGTTTGTCACTCTCTTGTAACCTGCTATTTCCCGGGTGCCTTGATAGTCGAAGCAGACCTTGTGCTGCTGAAGTTAGAAAGGTGAGCAGTCTAAGTCTGATTCCCTGTAAAGATTTCTCTGTTGACAGTTGACACTCACCCCTTGGCGCTCATATGACCTTATGCAGTTGCGTGCGCCGTAAAACCCTCTACTATAAAAAAAAATTCTGATCTACTTTGGTGTCAAAATAATAGCACTATTTATGCTAAAGTTCCTGTTTTGCTTGAAAAACCTTTTTTTTACGGCACTTGCAGCATAATCAGACCATATAAGTGCCGGAGATAAGAGATGTTACACAAGAGTGACAAACACAAATGAAGGAGGAGAGATAAGGGAGATAGATGTTCGACAGGAAAGGAGCAAATCCCAACATAGCCTTCACCAATCACCCACACAGTTCTCATTTTATGTAAGTAAGCTTTTTTACGGCACTTACACAACACAGTTGGAGCATATGTGAAGCGTGCTGACAAAATGAGTTACTTCTCGCAGTCCATGAATGGAGATGTCCGAAAATAGACACATCAAATTTGTAGGTTGCAATGGCCAAGCGTCTATATAATCAAATAATCACTGCTTCCTAATTTTGAAACCTTGTCGCTGTCAAATTCACCCATAAATGTAAACCTCATAAATTAAATGTAAAAAGACGTTCATAATCAACAATGAACAGTATGCCTAACATTAAAAACGGTTTCACAGCCACAGAAATAGCTTGATCACCCCTCTCAGGCCACTCCATAAGCAGTCGCAAGCTTTGATTAAGTAAGCTTAAAGTGAGGCTGAAAGAGTCTACCAATAGAGTTGAAGGGAACATGTGCATAGCAGTCAAAACTGTTTCATTGCGACATATACCCTGGTCACCCCTTTGGGGCCACAGTTATAAGAAATCCCAAGCCCTGATTATGTAAGCTAACTAACACTGGTCGAGTCTACCTCACAAATGTGAGGGGAACTAACTCCTAATAATCTCTTGACTGCTGCAAATGCTTGTTTTTTTCCTCGACTTTTAACCGTCCTATAATCAGATCGTGACCTCGATTATGACACCAGCTCCTGGCCACGAAAGGGTAGACACAAACAGCCAAATGTGAAATTTAAAAAATTAAATGATAATTGTCATGTTCTACCAAAGAGTTAGACTCACTGGTAGATCAATAACATATAGATCTAGATCTAGTACTGACATCTCTGC